CACCTTTGGGATGAAGCCTCGAGTTAGCTGCACAACAAGAGGTACTCTCTGCAGCTTTCTTTCCCACCCCCCCAGCCCCAGTTTTCTACTGGTAATCCAGACACTGGATAACTTGACAACTGGTACACAGGTACTAGTTTTAAAACCACAGGCGTGTGTATTAGGCATTATATAAAATATGGTACATCTTTCATGTGGGAATGATTTCTATAGATAGCATATTTCAGCACAAGGAGGATGCATTTTCCAAGGGGTCCTGGAGAATGTGGCTGTGTTCTCCATCATGTAGGATACTTACACGGGATGCTTGTGAGGAGACAGCGCTGCTCTTTGCCATCCACACCCCCTCGGCTGAGCTCTGCAGAGATCACAGGAAGCACCACTGCTGCCCGAGCAGCCCTTCACACAAAGCTACCTCTTTGGTTTTCTTTGAGCTGATTTGAGCCAGAGCTTGACACCACCAGTGCCAAAATCTCATCCTCATCTGAGCTGGGTGCTGAAGGCTGAGAAGCAGTGACAGGTGATGTCTATGGGCCATCATGGGCAACCCGCCCTGCTCCCCCTGAGTTTTCTCCAGGTCTGAGGTGAGTGCAAAGGGCCATATCCTGAGACTCCTGCTCTTGCCAGCTCCACTGCACAAAAAGGCACTTAAAGAAAAGAACAAAAAACCAAACCAAACCAAACTGCAGTGAGGATGAGGGAAGTAGGTCCAGGAGAAGAGAGGAGGAACAGACCAGTGAGTACAATGTGAGTGAGTGGCTGACCCCTATTCCAGCAGGGCACAAGAACTACAAACCTTGAGCAGCCAGCTCAAGCTGCCCCACACAGATCTCAGCATCATCCCACCCCTGCTCAGTCCAGAGCAGGAGCGTGCGTGGGGGCAAAAGGAGCATGAGAGGGAACTACACATGACTACAGGCGTGGAGCAGAATTGGAGAGCGGTGGAAGGACCTGCCCCATGGAGCTCGCGCTGCTGGTGCGACTGGAGGGGGGAAGCACCTTGTCCTGCCATGCTGGCCTTGGGGCCCCTGCTCCCTGCCAGCACCCCTCTCCCTCACCCATCCTGAGCTCTGCCAGGGCAGCAGCCTTCACCTGCACAGGGATCTCAGGGACTGGACAAGCTCAGAATAGAACAACAAGCACTTTGTAAACTCTGGAAGGTCTGAGCTTGGGCTCTACAGAGAGGCCAAGGTTGGTTTGCTAACCCGCCCAGAGCCCATCTCCACTCAGAACTAGTGTGCTTCGTATGATCTCCACATTACCAGAGTCAGTCTCGTTCGGAGAAAGATTCTCACTGGAAAGCAAGAACATTCCTTCACTCTTCACAAAGATTTGGCAATACACAGAATTAAAAAAAATAATAAATCATAGTTACAACAGATTCGGGTTCATTTCATTTAAAGGAATTTCAACCAACAGGAGTGTAAAAGTTATAATTCACAGTTGTGCATTTAAGATATTAGTGTTGAAAACCTCACTTCAAAGAACTCTTGTGCAAAATTGTATTGACAGTAGAAACCATGGCTAGATGCCCTCCCAGCCTCCCCGGCCAGCAGGCCACCGTCCGCCCCTCTGCCCGTGCCCAGAGGCAGACGGACGAAGGGAACAGTAGGCAGTAGGAGTTGACATAGGAAGATGCAGTATCCTTTCTACGAGTCAAAGCCTGGCCGAGGTCTGAGGACAAGTCCAACAATTCCCAAAGCCACCAGCTGGTGCCCTGTGCTGAGGCGATGACGGGCAGCACTGCCACGTGTCCTTATGGCACTGCAGCATGGCATCTGAGCCCACCTGAATGCAGGTGGGCAGCCAGCAGGGCAGAGAAAGCAGAACCTGCTCTGGCAGGACACCCCCTGCAAAGGCACAGACTCAGGTGCCACGGCATCTCCATTGCAGTCAGGAAAGCCAAGCCCTGGCACCAGCAAACACCGTCTGGAGGCTCAGAAGTGATCCTGAGCTGGGCTCCTCTGCTTGTGATGGTTCCCACCATGAGGGCTGGGAACCCCTTGCATTTGTTAAACAGTAAAACTGTAAATACCCTGAGAACAGGGAGACTGGATTCTTTCCCCTCCGGGGAGAGGACCATGCTTTGTTCTTCAAGCTAATTAGTAGTAGCAGCTCCTAACCCCTCTGGGTCAGGTACATATTTTTCATACGAAACACATCTATAATCAACTATTTTTATGGAAATTATTTCACTTTCCATCATTGGATCTGTACAAATGATGAAAAACAGTCATGCAAAAAATCGCCTGCAAATTCTGAACAGTGCAGCATGGGCAGAAGCAGGAGGTATTTGCTTTGGGATCACATGGCTTTGGTTGGAAAAATTGGCGCTTTCTTTTTTTGCCTTTTTTTTTTGTTTGTTTTTTTCTTTTTCTTAAAAAGGAAAACAGACACTGAAACAAATCCATAACCTGCCACAAGAAGCAGAAGTCAGATCCAGCGAGCAACCTCGTCCCAGAGAGAGAGCTGCCTTAAGTCTTCCCTCCCTCGGCAGGTTTGACAAAACGGATACTGCATCTCAAGTTCACCACCGTGTCAAACACTTCGGACAAACTTTTACATTCAGCAACACTAGGTAAAAACTGGCAAGTCCCTCACCAAGGACAAACGCTGGAACATCTCAACAGTTTGCTTTTCAGGAAAGGTGCAATATTGGCTGCTCTCTGGGAATGAGCAGGTCAGCCCTTGCCGATGCTGAGCTACGTGCTCTCAGCGATGGTGGGCTAGTGTGTATCAGAGCAAGGATGGAGACTAAGGAAATGCTTTTAGATGGAACTCAAAAAACGTTAAGAAGCTAAATGTGATAGTAAGGTTTGGGGGCCCTGTTTCCTCCTCACTAGGTGCACACATTAGATCCTGTGCAATTTCTATGCCCCCTTGTGGGGACTTCATCCTCACGGGTGGCTCCAAGGAATATGCGCACCTTCCCCATCGGGGAGGACAGCAATAATTAGGGCTGCTTTCTGAAGCCAAACAAGAGGAGAAGACACACACTGTCCTGGGTTCAGCTACAGCAGTCATTTTTTTTTCTCTTTCTTAGTAGCTGGTGCAGTGCTGTGTTTTTGACTTTCAGTCTGGAAACAACGCTGATAACACCGATGTTTTTAGTTGTTGCTCAGTAATGTTTACTCTGACCAAGGACTTTCTCAGTCTCATGCTCTGCCACGGAGGAGGGGAAGCCGGGAGGAAGCAGAGACAGGACATCTGACCCAAACTGGCCAAAGGGGTATTCCATACCACAGCACGTCATGCCCAGTATAGAAACTGGGGGGAGTCACCCGGAAGGCCCAGATCGCTGCTTGGGTCGGGCTGGGTATCGGTCAGTGGATGGTGAGCGGTTGTGTCCTCTCTCCCCTTGTTATTTCCCTTATCATTATTATTGGTAGCAGTAGTGGTTTGTATTATACCTTAGTTACTGGAGTGCT